TTTTGTAATCAGATAACTTTAAACATTTTTGCTTTGTTTTATATTTTTTTATTTAAATTTTTTTTGTTTTTATTTATACATTTTTTTCTTTACTACTTGAAGTTTGAGTGTCAAGCTAGTAATTTGTTTCTGTAAATTAATTTTAAATGCGTAGGTTTTAAGATAAGAAATAAATAACATTAAGTAAGTAATTTTTTTTTGTTATTAAAAATATTTTTTGTTGCAAAATCCATGCAGAAAAATGTTTCCTTAACCTATCTTATATAAATATTAGAGTACTGCCACTAATTTGTATAATTTTGTTTTTGATTTCCTTTGCTATACCGTTTATTTTTTTCTACGCAATAATTATAACTATAAATGAAGAATATGAAAATAATCTTGTTTCTAAAATGTATGTAGCAAATATTTGAAATAACAATACATACCTACACACACATATATATACATAATCATTAGCAAGTAATTAAGCATAAAAAGCACTAAAATTTTGTCACTTTCGAACACAATTTCGTAATTCAGCAACACTTTTCGGATTTACAGTTATGCAAATGTTTGCCAAAAGTGCCTTGATAAACTTGAAAATGTGTAGCCGTAAATAAGCTTGCTTCGGACTGAAAGTGCGGCGAGAGTGAAGCGTTATATTGAAAATATAGTAAAATATATGTGGCAAGCGGGTTTCTACAAAAAAAAAAAAAAAATATTTATAATAAACATTTCTAAATTGCAACTATGTATGTCTAAAACACTAAAAAGTGCTATGGAGCTTTTCTGGAACTAAAAACTAAGTACTGTAACTGTAACTGTTAACTGTATATTTTCTTAGTAATAAATATTATTTAGTTTTATTTTAAATAATTATTACAAAAGAATAGTCAACTAAGTTTAAAAAAAAATTATAAAAAATATTTGAAAAATACATATTTCAATATTTCATCACACTACTTTGATAACTCCATCTTATGACTTTGTAAAAAGTAAAAACAAAACACATATACACATATTATTAAATAAAATTTAGAGAAAAATAAAAATACTGTACTAATATTTGTTTAAAGAACATGTAATGTGAATGTTTAAAAATATATAAAATAAAATTATACATACATACACACATACATACATGTGCATAATATTGAGTCTTTATTAACAAGATCCTATGCAATAAAGTATTCAGCACAAACAAATTTACGGTTGTGTTGTTTTGAATGTTTTTGTGTATAAAATATTTATTTAATTTTGAAATCGCTTTGTGAAAATGTTTATCCATTTTCTTTCACTATCAACTGCTGTCTATGGAAATGTTAAAAAAGACATTTTCAAATACTCAAAAGTGTGAAAAATCATTTTAAAAGGGAGACCCCACAATCTGCGGAAACTACCGTGGGATAAGCCTCTTCAACATCGCGTATAAGGTTCTATCTATCGAGCGTATTGTGTGAAAGATTAAAGCCTATCGTCAAAAAACTGATTGGATTTTATCTTATCAGTGTGGCTTTAGGCCCGAAAAATCAATAACTGACTAGATATTCACCATGCGCCAAATCTTGGGAAAGACCCGTGAAAAGAGGATCGACACACACCACCTCCTTCGTGCTTTCGACAGCACGAAAAGGAGCTGCCTTTATGCCGCGATGTCTGAATTTGGTATACCCGCAAAACTTATTTGACTGTGTAAACTGATGTGGAGCAATACCAAAAGCTCTGTCAGTATCGGGAAGGACCTCTCTGAGCCGTTCGATACCAATAACGAGGTTTCACAAAAGCCGACTCCCTATTTTGTGACTCTATCGTGTAACAGTTCAAATAATTCGAACTGCAGAGCTGAATAGAGAAGGTACAGTACTACAGTACTACAGAGTGTAGAAAAGCTGGCGTACGCCGATGATGGCGATATCCGATTGGACAAAAAAGAGCAGCAAATGGGTATGATAGTTGCATTCGCGGCTTGGCTACCACGTCACACCAACAACAACTTTTGACTCTACAAGTCACTCATCATCGCCGTTGTGCGGATCTGACGAATGGGCTTTCGGAAAAGGTTCTGCGGAAGACTTATGGTCCTTTGCATATTAGCAAAGGAGAATACCGCAGTCAATGGAACGATGAGCTGTACTAGATATACGACAGCTGGCTAGGTCATGTCGTCCGAATGGATGAAAACACTCCAGCTCTGAAGGTATTCGACCCGCAGGAAGATGAGTGCCTTTACCCCGTTGGAGAAGTACCTGGCCAAATGGCGGAAAGAAAGAACGACTGGCTCGCTGTTGTAAACTCGGAAGAAGATACAAATAATCGTTACGCGAACAAAGCCTATAAAAATAAAGAACAACAAGCCCTGAAGCTAAGAACAATACATAAGGATAAAGGCTTTGAACATTTTACCGTGAAAACTTTAAAATTGAAATAGGTTATGTATTGTATTGTTTTAATAAATTTTGAAGAAAATATTTGAAGGGTATAAAAAAATAAACTCTGAACCACAAAAGCTTTAACTATGCTTAATTAAAGCTTTTGTACGCTTTTTAACACACAGTGTCTATAAAATTTGCATAGTTTGACAGTTTGGCAGCCCATTTAGAGTCAGCGAAGGTGGAAAACTGGTTATAACTTCCTCAACACTTTACAAACATTATTGTTATGGCAAATAATGGACACACAGTTATATGCATATACATACATAAATACATATGTACGCATATATATATTTATATAATATGCATATGTATGCATTCATTCACACCTACTTCATTTAAACACTGCGCAGTCGACCGCAACGAAAAGTGTGCCGGCCAAGTGATAAATAAATTTACAAAAACAGCAATAACAAAGGGAAAATAGTATAGACATACTATTGCTTGTTGTTGTACGCCCGCATAAATAACAAATACAAAAGTTGGCATGTGCCAATGCACTTAATCAACTTGTTATCAGCTGCAAGCGAAAGGTGTTCCAACTACCGTTAAATTATGTATCATGCAATAATTAACACAAATTCGTGTCAATGGCGAAAAATTTAACAAATCGCTTTGGAAAGCGAATTTTAGTATTAAATTAAAAATATATAAAACTATAAAAATTACAAGACGTAAAATAATTTTTGATTTTTTTTATGTTTAATGATAACAGAAGATCTTTTTTTCTGAATAATTAGTTATATTTGTGGAAAATAAGTGTACTATAATTTTATAGCAACATATAAGATATATATTTAGGGCGTCTGTTGCCTTCTTTTACCTA